ATATATATATATATATATATATATGTATTCCTTCCGCTCATTGGCGCACAGATGGTCTCTGCTGTTAGCAGCCAAAAGACCATTTCACGCCCTAGTCTCGGTGCAGGAGAGCGCTGCGTAAGATGCCGCGGCATGTCGTTGTGGTGGACCCCAAAAGCGACTCGCCAGTGCATAACAGTGCAACAGACGAGGCGGGTTTCACAGTGATAGAACTCCAGCAGGAAGAAGGGGAGGAGGAGGGGATACGGAGGCAAGGCGTACAGACGGAAAAGGGGGCACCGCGTCGGTGCGACCCCTATGCCATGGGGCAACGNGGAGGGGATACGGAGGCAAGGCGTACAGACGGAAAAGGGGGCACCGCGTCGGTGCGACCCCTATGCCATGGGGCAACGCCTGCCGCACTCACACGGCGATGCATTGGCGAAGCAGCAGCAGCAGCATCGGCGGCAACGCTGGGAACTGCCCAGGCTGATGCCGCAATCTTCAAGGAGGAACAGGAGGCGGAGCGGCAGCAACAACAGCAGCTGCAGCAGCAGCGGCATGAGTCCACCGACTGTCCCACAGTGTGAACCAGCGCATGAGCAGATTTCGTCGCCGGTCAAGGCGCCGTTGGAAACTCAAGCGCAGCAGCTTGAACTGTACCGTTCTCTCCAAAAACGTGATTTTGTGACGCTGCATGAAGAACTCCATTATTTGCGCATGACCTACGTTCACACACAGAGGACGCTGCGCCTCAGAGGTGAGGAGGTGACGCGCCTGCAAAAGGAGTTGGACGACAAGTCGAAAGAGATCGAGCGTCTTAAGGCGCTCCTTGAGTTGGTGCGGAAGAAGCGGCCGTTAGTGGCGGGTGGCGCGCGTGCCGAGGAGGCGGAAGAGAATGGTGCTGCAGGTGCAGGTGCAACGCGGGTGACGCCGTCCCTGGCGCTGTTTGCCGCAACCGCTGACGATGGCGTTGGGCGTGGGCAGCCTGCGAGGATGCTGCTGGAGCTTCGGCAGAATATCGCCTCCCGCGACACCGTCATTGACGGTCTTCGCATGGAGCTGGGTGCGCTGCGCAAGGCGGAGAAAGACATGGACGAAGCTCTTCACGCAAAAACGACGGAACTGGAGGAGGCCCGTGCACTGTGTGCGAGCTTGACAGCCGATCTGAGCGCCAAAGACGCGAGGATTGAAGAGCTCCAGAAACGCTGCGTTGCTACCACACCTGTGGGGAGGACAGGTGACACTCGCAACAGTAGTATAAGTCATGGAATTGAGAATCCAGACGTTGTACTTCTCCGCCAGAAGCTCGAGGAGTACAAGCAACGCTGTCGAGTCGCAGAGGCTGCAGTTAGTGCCACTCGAGCGCAGCTGCAGTCACTGGAGATCGGTGCTTTCTCGTCTCGCCCTACTGCCATAGATCCGCCGCAGCAGCAGCAAGAGGCTGGCTTGCGTGCGGAGTTGGAGCACCTACAGCGCTGTCTCCAGAGAGAGAAGGATACAAGTGCGGAGTTGGAGCGGCATTGGCGTCAACGGCTTGATTCTGACCGTCGCATGACGGAATCGGATGTAGATACCGCCAGGTCAGAGGCGGAGGCATGCAGGCGTGAGGTGGCGCGGATGCAGCGGCAACTCACCACCGCCAGTTTCGCCGAGGCACAGCTTCAGGCTGCCCGAAATGAAAATGACACACTGCAGCAGCGTGTGGTGGAGCTTCGGGAGGAGAACTCCGCACAAGCCGCGCGTGAACGTGAGCTGCGGAACGAACTGCGCGCCACAAAGGAGGTGAACGACCGCCGTGAGGACGAAGTAGTGTCGCTGCAGCGCCGTCTGAAGATTGCCAAGGATAGCGAGGGTGGGTTGCGAGAGGAGGTGGAGATGCTGGAGGGGAAGCTGGAACGGGCGGAGGAGCGGTTTCGCGCGGTAGAGCGCGAGTCGACTATGCCACAGCGCGTCGATGGCGTGGAGCCGTCGGCCGTGCCACGTGAACTGAGTAGCTACGCCGCACTCATGGCGCTTAACACGCAGCTGCAGGAGCGGCTTCAGTCGCTGGAGGCGGAGCTGCGCACTGCGAAGACTGCACCCGCATCTGAGGAGGCTAACTCAAAAGTGGGATCGGCAGCGGTAGCAGCAACCGGAGGAGGAGACGCCGTTGGCGAGCGCATTGCTCGGATCGGGGCGGAGGTGGCGGAGCTCAGGGAGGGGCTGCAGCGCACCGGCGCCTCCCTCCAACAACTGCAGGCGGAGTTCGCTGCCTCCAGTGTGTCGAATGAGCAGCTGCAGGCGGAGCTGCAGAGTGTTCGCGGCGCGTACGGTGCACTCTCGCAGCGTTGGGGAGAAGTGGCACGGGAGCTCGCAGGAATCACCGACGGTGGCAGCAGCGGCGATGCCAGTGAGAGTGGCGCGAAGGAGGTCCAGCGCCCCCCATCAGCACGCAGGAAGCCCCGCGCCGACACTCGTCGTGGCCGTGTACAGGAATTACCGCAGCAACAAGAAGGCCCGACGGCTGAGCCATCCAAGGCCGCAGTTACGGTGCAGCACAATGACGAGGAGAGGTGCGCTGAGCTGCAGGTGGAGGTGCAGCGTCTTCGCGGCCTCCTTTGCAAACGTGATGAGGAGCTTCAGCGCGCTCGCACAAGCCTTGCTGCTGCCAAGGCGGAAGCCGACGTCGCCCGGAAGCAAGAGGCGGTCTACGAGGAGCTGGTGCGTGGTGTTGGTGAGCGTAAAGTGTCGTCGCTGCGGGCGGCCCGCATAGAAGCAGCGCACTGGCGGCAGCAAGTGGCGGAGCTGCAGCGGTTATGCGAGGAGCAGAAGCACACCATCGCCAACTCCCGTACGCCACAGAAACTGGCCGTACAGGATGCGCCACAGTCCGCCTCCTGCAGCGGGACTGTCTGGGACGACGAGTACATCATAGAGGAGGCGTTGCGGCAGGAAGCAGCGCGGCTAGACGCAGAGTTGGGCGCGTTGCGTAGCGAGTTGCAGACAACGAGAGTGGAGCTCGATCATTGGAAGACGCTCGCAGTGGGTGCGACAACGACAGCACTGTGTGAAAGTGAGAAGGGCCAGTGTGTGAAGGACACATAGTCCGGGGGGAGAGCCACTCGCTGTGGTTTACGTGAGAAGGCACACCTTTGGCGCTCTTTTTGTGTGGCTCCAGGCGAAGCCTGTGCTTTATATTATGATTTTTTTTTTGCGTACGTACGTGTGTTTCTCTGCGCTGGCGATCCTCTTCCTGTTGCTGCTGAAGGCTGGTGATGATGATGATGATGATGATGTCTGTGTGGGTTGTTCAACGGTGTTCTGTCTGTTCTTTTTGATCATTATTCTCTTAGCGGCTTCTTCATTTACGCGTCTAGCGAGCGAGATCGAAGGCACTCTGTTTGTCATGCCCGGCGCCCCCACGGGGTCCTCCTCCGCCGTGACTGATCACGCGCGGACGCTCCTCGACGCGTATGCGGGCCGTGAAGGCGATCTGCTGGAGGAACTGAGGCAACGCATGGAGAGACGCACAGGGCGGCAACAGGGAGTTGCAGCCCAACCTGAGCGCAGTGAGTTGCGCAGTCCAACGGGCGCCGCCTCCACGCGGCACCCATTCGTTGACGGTCAGCAGCGGGATGAAGAGGAGTCAGGGGAGGAGGAGGAAGAGGAGGAGGAGGAGGAAATTACAGTTGAGTCCATCAGATGTCACGTTGAGAGCGGTATCGGCTTTGCGTCGCCGCTGCACCGGCGGCGGTGGGAGGAAGCGTGGCTGGGAGCACTGCCGCTCTCAGCGTACATGTACAAGTGGGGTGACGCCGTTGTACACCAAGGCGCCGGCTACAAACTCACCACGCATGGAGGACTCGTGCGGCGGTGGGCGCGGCGGTATTTCGTGCTGGCGTGGTCACTGCTGTACGTGTTCGACGACCGCGGCGCGAAAGGCAAATGCCGTGGGGCGGTGTACATGCATCGTGCGGGTGTGCACCAGACGTCTGCGAACGGCCGTCCCGCTATTGTCATAACGCCGGTGACGCAGAAGAAGCCGTCGGAGCTTGGCGCGGAGGAGTTCGCGAGCTTCACCATGTCGGTGGACGCGGTGCGGCTGCTGGGTGTGTGGCTCGGCGCCCTGCAGAAGACAAGCGTCGCCCCGCTCTCACCGACATCGGTGGCGTGCCGCAGCACACCGCAGCGCAGTGCCAATGTGGCCACTGCGCCGGAGACAGCACCGGTGAACGTGTTGAGGCACGAGCAACCGGTTGAGCGTAACGAGGAGAAACAACTGTCGCAGACGCCACAACGAGAGAAGCAGCGGCTGCATATAGTGAGTGTAGACTGTTCAGGTCACAGCGAGGACCGGGACACTGTTATCGAAGAGTATCGGCATCAGCTGCAACGTGTAGTACTGAATGCCTCTAACGTCAAGGCGCGGCTTCGCCGTATCGCGGCAAAGAAAGACAAACAGCAACTTGGGGAACTGCTGCTGCAGTTCGTGTTGAACCGTGTTGACGACGCCGCTGGGCTGTGGGCGCTCATGGACCAAGTGGAGGAACTGCCGGATGCGCCGCCACACACACCTCCTGCTTCAACAGCTTGTGTGGCGGGGGAGAATCACAGCACGGGGCCGATATCGCCACAGTCTGCTTCGCCACGAAGCGGCGTTGCCAACGGAGGCGCCGCAGTAAAAGGCGCCCCGCTGTACATCACGCCGATCCCGGTTGAACGGCATATGTTTTCCCCGCAGGAAAGAACGGGGGATGGAGGTACGGTGCAGCGCATTAACGACAGCAAGAACAACGCGGTTGAAAGGGGTGAAGAAGAAGAAGAAGAGGAGGAGGGTGGCGTGTTTGGCGGCGCAGATGCGGCGCTCTTCTCAGCTGAGACGGGCTCCGCGTGGCGGCAGCGAATGCGGAGGCTGCGGGACCGCCAGCGCGTTGTTGACAGCATCCTCAGCGAACTGCCGAGCATGTCGTGAGGCCGCACGCACTGTGCGATACACCTCCAGGTGGAACAGAGAGCGTGGGAGTGAGAGTGGGGGTGCAGCTGTTACTCCGCCCCGTCTGTTGTAGGAGGGGTGGTGGGTCTTGCCTTATTGGTATTCCTCTCTCTTTCTCTCTCTCTTCATCGCCCGCCTTTTCTTTCTGCCACTCTCTCTTCCTTTGCGCAGTGGGGGAAGCACACCCCGTTGCAAAGGAGGCGGTGAAGATGTCGTTTTTCTCCGCTGCTGTCCGTCGGTGGGCGGGTGAAGTGCACCGCCGTGCCTTCCTGTCGCACAGTTTAGCATGCGGCGTGCCTGCCTCAGCTCACAGCCGTTGCAGCATCAACAGCTGCAGTAGGCGATGCTTCTGGAATCCCTTCTCGCCTCGCGAGGGGAGCGGCGACGACAAGAAGCCTGCGCTGAGCCCGAACACGGTGCAGCACCAGCGCATCGTGGAGAAGGCGCACCGCGATGCATCACTACATAACGAGCGCCTTCTCGATGCCTGTTTAGACTTGTTGGACATCTGCGGCGTCAACAGCAGTAGCAGAAGCGGCGGCCTCGACGAGGCAGCTGCAGCCACCATTTCGGCCGTTGTTGAGACCACGATGCACGACTTCCGCAAGACCCCAGCGGAGCAGTTCGACCTCATCTACGCCGCTCTCTGCCTTCCGTCGGCTGCCACTAACCGGCACCTGCAGCGTTGCCTCATGGTGCTGCTCGAGGCGTTCCTGCCGGAGGCGCTCTTCCGCGTCTTCGAGAGCGCCGACCTCGTCGTTGTGGTCGCCGGCCCCGACGACGCCGCGCGGCGTGACGCGCTCTGCCG